CGGTTAATTCGTGTTACGTTAGCGGTTAATGATACATTATCACTAATTATTACAGTATCGGGAATTATTATAGTATCGGGTCCAACACCGTCCTGTGGCGCTTGCGGTTAGAGTGCTTTCATGATTAAAACGATCGTAACTGTCAGAGTCCGCTTGGTGGCGTCCTTTAATAAACGAGATGACAATCTGGTAACTTGAATATTAAATAAAACATTGAATGCAATCATAGAGCTTTGGTTCAAATGAACATTTGACCGTCAATGGTAGCTCCATGCCATGCGGGAATGTATACACGAATCAATGAAATGTCGGGCAATCGGTATATTGAATTCTAAAGTAAAAGTTTCCACAAAATCTGAAATATGCAGTGTAAAATTGCTGGCCAAAAATACGAAAAAAGTGCATAGTTATATCACAAACAACAGATACTGGTACACTGTATTTGGAATACACTTGTCCGTTCTTCACCACGCTGAAACAGTTGAAACAGTAAAATAAATACGACTACCAAATGAAACAATTTATTTGCAATTGAATATTCGAAAATGTACCAAAATATCATATCGATTATATTAAGTTGTACATATGCGGTTTCTGGACACGTTTTGCCGCCATTTACCACAGATTTCACCCATTATGGTAATAACGGCTAATCGTGAAACAAGTTTATTAAATGTTTGTCATTTAATGATGTGCAATTTTCAATTTTTCATCTTTTTTACGAGTCGCATTTCATAATTAATATACTTTATACGAAGACCCGACATTCAACTAATTTGTAAATACACACTGAAGGGGCCGCATGCAGATACAAATGAAGTCCAAATGTCCATACAAATAATTTAATAGCTACTGAATTGTGTTATCTTGTGTTGCATATACCAATGACAGCATGCGCAAATACGCCAATTCGTCACGGTTAAGGGGACATACCGAGTTTACTGGACAATATGTCGTTTTGATCTTGACATATATACACGTATTTAGACTCGTGTATTTCTTCTGTACGACACAACAAATAATTCAACTTAAGGCCTGAATTCATCTAGGAATTTCTAAAATTTGGAGACATTGTCGTGCAAATTTTTGTCATATCAAGTAAGAATTTCCATTGTACATGTACGCATCCCAGGCAGAGTGATATCTTCGACCTGACAATGAAATGAAACTGCGGGAAAATCTCCCAATTCAATTGTAGTATTGTATCAACCACAAGACAAAATGAAAAGGTGGACGTCGTTTCATATCTGACCCCCGCTAATTCCCAGATGAGTGACGTATTTCTATTCACACACCTTTTTTTGATAGAAAAATCAGGCAAACAGCCTGACATTGTCTGGACATGGTCGGTGATAGTTATTGTGCCCTCGCCGACGGTTTCAGTTTCGTAACGCACAGGCGCATGGTGGCGTCGTTCAATAAACGCATTTCGAATACTACTAGTATTACTCGTATAGAAGAAAGAAAAAAGACAAAAAAAAAAAGAAGCTTGGCAACTAATATTTGTCTGTTATTTGAGATGTACAACGTGAAAATAATGTGATCCACATTTGTGAACTTCATAATACTTTATAATCACGAATGTGTGTTAACACAGAGCATCTGTGAACCGAATTTCATTGACATGACTATGCATATTATGGAAATTAGTATGCTCGAATTTCAATCCAAAACTAGATGTTCAGAATTGTTTCCACCCAGTCTTATAATAAATGCAATAAGTTTTTTTAGATATAGGTAGAAAATTCGATAATTATTAAGCAATTATTATGCATAGATTTCAACCCAAAACTAATTGAATCTGTGTATTGTTTCAGACACATATGTACCAAGTTTCATTATTAATGTGATGATTAATGGTGGAAATTCAAACAGTAATTTATTATGCAATTATGATGAATCTATATAAATCCAAAAGTAATTAGATCGCTGCATTGTCTTAAGTAACCCATCACTAAGCAGGTTTGGGCATCGTCCTTGACTATCCATGTAACAAGTTTCATTGAAATGTGATTAGAACACAACATATTGATTAAGCCAACAAATTATGAATTATTAAGCAAATTACGTAACTAATATGAACATATTTCAACCCAAAATTGAGCAAGTCTGTGAATTGTTGTAGAACTTTTATGTACCAAGTTTATAGAAATGTAATGATTAGCACTATAGATATCAGTGAAA